CCATTTTGTAAGTCGTCGTCTTGATTTTCACCAGCAGCTTACGCCCACATCCTTTGAATTTGCGGTAGATGATAGCAATGTTGAATATGTCCCACGAAACGAAACAAAAAAACATCCAGGGTGGTCTCAGCAGCGATGAAGCGCAAAGCGACAAACGAATGTACGCGACGAATGATATAAACCAATGTCCCGTCAATGCACTTCGCCAGCTCCTTGACAAAAGTGACCCAAATGCCGGATCACTTTTTTCGCACTGTAATAAAGATGCACTTAGCTCTCCAGACGCACACAACATTTTGTATACAGCAACCCCAGTCAAAAAATACCAGTTCACTCGTTTCATGTCTGACATATGTCGCAATGCCCAATGTAGTCAGTCATACACTGCTCATTGCCTTCGCACCACAGCAATCCAAGCCATGAGTGACGCTGGCTTTGAACTTCGTCACATAATGTTTATGAGTGGCCATAGGAATGAAAATTCCGTGCGAAGTTATAGTCGCCACACAACCACTACTCAAAAACTAAGAATTAGCGAGACGCTTTCCGCCATTGTAACGCCTCGACAATAGCATGCGCACGTTGGAACATCAGTTCATGGCATCGCAATCCCAGTCACATCACAGCCCCTTTCCACTTGCGCAAATACTGCTGCCACTAACAATCTCAGTTCCACTAACTTCATGTCATCGGGCTTCATTTCCAATTCTCACTTTTCAAACTGTGTCTTTCAGTTCGCTGGTAATAATTCAAATGTTTGAACTTGAAACTTTGCCGTTACCGGAACGCGTCACGTTGTGTTGCACTCTCCTACCCAGAGTTCCATGCGGCAAGCCAGCATAGTACCTCTGCCACAGGCCAGAAAAATGTGACGATTCGTCACATCTTGCACCGTCCATTCAATATAATGTACAGATTTCTTTTACTCTTTTATTTTTGACGAGTCTACACATCTAACTAAACATCTTTAATAGAATGGTTTAGTTTCACTGAGAAAATATCCAAAAACATGTAACACTATTTCGATTTGCGTAGCGATCCTTTGTTTACATAGGTTGTGCGGCTCCACGTGCTGTCATCGAAGCCGACGGAGAGCAAACGAGGCAGCCAGTTTGTTATCTAAATATGTACTGTCATAGACCTAACTGTCGCAGTTGTGGAAGAATATATATGTAACAATGTAAAAACATAATGAAGAGCGCCGAAAAGCTTTCGTGAGTCCAGTCTCTTCTTCTTATGAATATGCGCGTTTGATTACAAACAAGAGAAAAGTCCGGTCACGTGATATGCAAATTATCTTGTGGCAGTTATGTTATGTTAGTCATCGCTGTGCCGGAGTGTGGTTGTGTTGTTCCGCTCTGATTCGCAACCCCGATGTTAGCTTGGTTGATTGACAGCTGTTTGGGGGTGCTCTATGCTGATTGGCTAATGGTTTGGTAGGCGTGTCATTTTATGTAAATGAGTCACCTGAGTCATGTCACGCCATTACCGAATTCTTACACCGAAAATGTTAATCGGTGGTAACAAAGATATCTGTTTCGATGAATTTGATTGTGTTTTAAATAAAATATTGTTGAAAGCCTATAGTATTTGTTGTTGAATTTAATTATAAGGATTGACTGTGTATTTCTTTCGTTTGCATTGAGGTATGAAACTAAAACCAATGTGCAAACTGTAAGAATCCGCTGCGCGGATTCTTACAGTTTCACACAGTTTGCACATTGGTTTTTAGTTTCATACCTCAATGCAATGAAAGAAATACACAGTCAATCCTTAAATGCATTGCAGGTCTTATTTCACTCACTTCTCCTTGTAAACCAATAACCACAGCCAAGTAGTCATAGTGAGAAAGTAGACAAAGACACTGAATGGTGTGTGTTTGGAAATGATGTTAAGTGTCTTAAAAATAATAAAAACTAATAATAACAGTAAAATATAGAGGAGAATCATTTTTCAAATATTCACAGTTACTGTCTTTTCATTTCAGATATGGTGTTGCCCCCGACAAAAAGGAAACAGATTTTGATCCCAGACACCCCATGGACAGGGCACCACTAAATCATGTCCAAGAACTAGAATTTGCTAAAAGACTTAATGAGGTAGAGCACAGTGAAATATGTCCTCATTTATTCTTAGACAGATACTGTGACATATTATATCTGCAGCTAATGACAGCATTAACATTTTTGCATTTAGAATTTATCCAGTAATTTGGTTATGTTAAATTTTATTGTTGTTTTCACTTTGCAAAGTTTAACAGTACTTGTACTTTCTTCTATAGATGTAATAATTTTAAAGTTAATATTGCATGGGGGAGCAAATACATCTAAACTGAAGAAAAAATTTATTCAAAATACCTTTTCCCCATTTTGTATGTCATGAAAGCATAATTAAAACCCTATGAAATTACTCTCTGCAGTACTGCTCATTGAGTGTAAAATTTGAAGTTACAGTGTAATGTTTTCAAAGTTTCTGTTAAATATCAAAATTTGTCTGTTTCAGATACAGCCCTCAGCATCAGCACTTGGCCTTCTTCTGGATCCTGCAGAATTGGAAAAGAGAAATGCAAGTATGCTTGAATGAAGAATGTTTGAAACTCTCCATCAAAAGCAAAGCTGACGACTTTCTCAAAGCCCATTTGCCACATGATGTAAGTTCAGCATCTGACGAATCATGTGGTCTCTTTATGACTACCTTGTGCTACACACAAGAACAAGTCAACTTCATCGAGAATGAAACTACAGGTCAGCATGACAACCCAACATGGCATGAAATGAGAAATGGTGTCATTACTGCTTCCACATTCCGACGCATCCTGTCAAGAACTAACACATTTCTCACTAATCCTACCACAGATCTTACAGCAGCAGTTGATTGTGTAATGGGCATCGCTCCACCACCCCAGAGGGTCTGCGTCCCCTTGAGTGAGGTAGGAAGAAAGAAAGTGTTGCAAGGTCAATGTATGCCAGAGTGGAGAGAAAAAAAACATCGTCATCTTAAAGTAACTGTTCCTGGTCTTATGTTATGTTCTCATAAGCCATATCTTGGATGTTCCACAGATGGTATTGTCAGCTGTCAGCAAGGAGAAGCATGCATCCAAATTGCTTGAGATCAAGTGCCCCCATACCTTGAGACTGAAATCACCCAAAGATGCTGCCAAGGACAAGGGCTGTGTACTGACTGCTGGTGTATAGCACTTATCAGAGCAATCAGAATATTATGCCCAAATTCAAGGCCAGCTTGGTATTTATGAACTTCAACAGTGTGACCTTATCATTTTCACCACTCATGGTATCCATGTAGTCACTGTACCTTTCAACAGAGAATATTTCAGCCAAATGGTTCATAAACTTGATATGCATAGTTCCGATGCTGAATCAATTAACCAATCAGCACGCTCCGCGCCTTTACTGCTGCACAGCTTGTCGCTAAGGCGCCATTTGGTCCCCCAAGCTTTTGTGTATCTAAGGACATAGCTGTCAGCGAGTTTTTTCGAAATGGTGAAGCGCTGCGCTTGGGGTACATGCAATTCGGACGAAAGGTACCCAGAGAGAGTCATTAATGTCCATTTCCTGCCATTTCCCAAGCCGAAAACCCAGTTTGAGAAGTGCTCGCGGTGGATTAGAGCGTGTGGCCGACCCCACGGACAACTGAATGTCGGCAACATAAACAAACACAAGTTCGTCTGCTCCAAGGTATGACTGAGTGTAGTGTAGGTATAAACTGGTCTTTCTAGCATATGACCGTATTCATATCGATATATCTTCGGATTATATGTTTACCAACGCAATATATTGTCGCACGGCAGCGTTTTCTTTGGCTATATAACGATACTGGTTGACAATTCTTAATTCGCTACAACCACCAAAGTACTAAGTAGTTCAGCAAGCTAAACGTCGTGTTCCTACCAAGGCAATATAATCGTATAGGTGATAATTTAATGTATTTATTTTTAAAATATTTGTTAGCATTTTGTGAATGGATATCCCACGAAAGAGTTTCCAGACCCTATCAGTGCCGATGGAAGCGCCATCAAACCAGTGAGACCTCCCCCCGAAGCGACGGTGCCTGGGCAGTGGCATTCAATCGGTTGAGCCTAGTGTCAGGTGAGCAAATTTATATTTAATGTGCCACACATAACATGTTTAATGTGTTACACCTATGGACAACATTGTTCCAACGCAGAAATACATAGCACAAAGTCTTTTAATTGTTCATTCGACTTCATCATCCATGTTTATTTTAATTTTTTTATGATGCTGTTTAACAATAAATGTCTTCAGCACATACTGTCAGTTGACAAACCTGATGACATTGCCATAACACACTCACATATATCACAGACATGACCAATAGTACTAACAAAATAGATGATAATGCAAAATAAATAACAAAGTATTTTCAATTTTAGGAACACATACATGCATATATATCCTCCATGTTTATTATGTGGATATATTTTAATGTTTTTTTACAATTATCACACACTAGTGATGGATGTCTTCAGCACACATTTTCATTGGAAACACCTGAGGATATTGTCATAACACAGTCTAAAGAAATATCACAGACACTGACCAATGCAGTACTAACAAAATAGATGATACTGCAAAACAAATAACAAAGTATTTTCAATTTTAGGAACAAATTCATGCAGATCTACCCTCCATGTCCACACTCAAAAGAAATATCACAGACATTGATCGATGCACCTCTACATAACAAATATGATTTTTTTTTTTGAAAAAGATTTGGTACATGTGACAAATATATACCCATATTCAACATACATTTCAAACTACAATGTGAACCTGTAGAGAATTATAAACAAACTTAAGAATGTTAACACATAGTTCACCCCATACTACATGGATTTGTATGAGAAATCATAGTCTGTCTCACAGTCCCTGAACTATATTATTTTCCCTACTACCTAGCCTTCTCTGCAGTGCTAAAGCCCTAATTGGAGCAAGTCTAGATTTCCTTAGATTCAGGTTCTTAGGTTCTGAATCTCTGGTCTCCCTGGGACTCCTTTTCAATTTAAATGGGTTTGTTTGTTACTATCAAATTATATATATATTGGTACTAAGCGTTAGTCTAGAGAATGCGATGCTTTGTGGTTTCTCTGTTTTCTTTGCAGGTGACGTTCACAGTACCTGGTGGTAATATGCTTGCTTTCAATCAACCAATCAATACCATTAATGACATGATTGTCACATCATGATTTGTTTTGTTTTTCAGAATTATTTGTAACCATGACCATTTGTTGGTTACATTACATTAATTTTTGTGTCCTTTCTATTTACTTAATGAAATGGACAATATGCACAGTCTGACCTCACATTAACCCTTCAAGTAATCCCACATCTGTCAGCACTGAATATACCCAGGTGCCTTGAACAGTGGCATGACAAAATGGAATGCCTCACGCTACACTTTTGCAAATATTGGATGCAAATATGTCTGGCCCATCATTACATCATTATATTAATACATGTTGTATTGCAACATTGCATATTGTCCTATATACCATATCTGTAGACAAGTCAGTTGTTCTCTGAAAGCAATACATAGTACAAGTTTTCCCTTTACAACACTAAAAGAATCTGTGAATACAAAGAGCCATTTAGAATGTGTTAAACTGTAACATGTAACTGTAATCCAAAATATAACATATGTTACATAATACAATCTGCAAATGTTTCACAAGGCCTTATATGGAATACATTTTACATCTTTCAGTGTACTGATTGACACAGATAACAGAGGAAATGATAATCTGCCTTCCAGCCAAAGTTCCAGTACCCAAACAGAGCAAACATGTAAGTATCCTGTGCAACTGTGAGCGTATATCATGAAATGATAACATATTACATAGCATGAGCTAGGTGAGGTTTGGCAAAGTCCTTAAAAAACTGACAGAGTTTTTGTAGCATGTTTGCCACGAATGGCAAGTCAGGATACACTCTTTCCACATGTAAATCTTTCTGAGTGTACACTATAAATTCACAAAAATCAGCACCTGAAATGAGAAGCTGACCTTGAATCTGCGCATAATGCATATGATTCCTAAGTAAATGTATAGATCCACTTTGATCTTTCTGCAGAAAGAATTGATCATTTGTACATGCCTCCTCAATGGTTGAGTTCCTTTCAGTGTATGGACATTTTACCTCTACAATGCCAGTCCCAACAGTACAGCATAGTTTTGCATCAGGAGTAGCTCCTAGAAAGCTGAATTCAGGGTTTACAATCAGGCCACAATCATGCATATGGGCAGACTGAAATGTTTCCAAATATTTGGACTTAGCAGAATTTTCATGTTTTTTGCCATACTCTAGAGGCTTGGCATATATTGTTTGTTTCTCCTTAGGAAATAAGGTGTCCAAGAAGGCAGTAGTTGGCCTTTTTTTTCTGTTGATAATCTTTCCAAAATTTGAAGCAGTTAGTCTCGTTGATCTGGATGACCTCCAGAGGAGACTGTAGGACTGACCCCTGGTGTCTCTCTCTAATTGTTCAGGATCAGCCACAGCATATCCATCGTTGAGTACCTGAAACTCAGTTGGTAGTTTGATAGGTGATGTCTTTGGGAATGATTCCACTTTGCATTGAGTGTGAGCCAGTGTTGTGACAGGTTTGATATTTCTTGTCTGAAAGAGAGTAAAACATCATATCAAAACAATTTGTGTTGTAAAGCTTATGAGTGTGTAAATGAGTGTGTTTTTAAGTAAAACATTGAGATTTGTGTTGGTTGGTATCATGTATGTGACAACTTTTATGTTGCAGGGATATCTCCACTTGATTACCTGAATCTGACCGCAACAATAGTCAACTTTCGAGCCCAGGTTGAACAGCAGCAAATGATGATTGATGCTTTGCAGAAATCAATCACCCTTAAGGATGAAGAAATAAAGAAACTTAAAGGAGAAGTTAGCAAAGGACAGAAATTTGGGGTAGAGACAGTCAAGGGGAAAGCTGGAAAATTAAAAAACCTTTTTAGATATTACACTGGCATAACATACATCCGTTTTTTGGCACTCTTACAGTTTTTAGTACCAGGAGATGGGAGCTTTTCCATGACCTATGAAAAGGGACGTTGTGATATTCGTACTTTATCAGCTGAGAACTGTTTGTTTTTGACACTTTGTCGTTTACGGCACAATTTTGGGCTCAAAGATATAGCTGTGAGATTTCATTTGACATTACAGTCGAGTGGTGCAGTATTTAATGCCTGGGTAGAACACATGTACTTGAAACTAGGACAGTTATCATTATGGCCACACAGAGATACCATCATTTCAAACATGCCAAGAGGATTCAAAAGAGACTTTCCAAATTCTGTTATTATTATTGATGGTACTGAGTTAAGAACTCAAACTCCATGTGCTCTTGGACTTCAGAGTCAGCTGTACAGTGACTATAAATCAAGTACTACCTTGAAATGTCTTGTTGGGTGTGATCCAAATGGCTCTCTAACATTTGTCTCAGAACTTTTCACTGGTTCAATCTCAGATAAGGCATTAACAGAACAGTCTGGTTTTTATGATGTGCTAAAGGTGCTCCTTACTCATGGTTACATCAAAGAAGGAGATGCAGTTATGGCTGATAAGGGCTTTACAATAGAGGACGAGCTTTCAGAATTAGGTTTAGAGTTAAACATTCCACCTTTTGTTTCTTCAGAAACCCAAATGACTTCTGCTGAAACTCTTGCCACTGAGAAAATTGCAGCACACCGTATCCATATAGAACGCCTCATAGCTAAGATTAAGAAATTCAAGATTGTAGCACACAGAATACCAACTTCATTATTTGGAAGAATTAATCAGATTTGGACTGTTTGTGCTTGTATGACTTTGTTCCAAAATATTTTTGTCACTGATAAACATGAATAAGCACTACAAATTTAACTATGAATCTCCATTATATCAGCATATACTGATTCACTCAAATGTTCTTATGAATCAATGAAAAATGTATCTTATTTTCAGAGTTAGCTAAGGCTCTCTATTACTTCTACCAATAACTATCCAAACTGTGGTACATGTATCTGTGTATCAGGACTTATGAATCAACTTAACTTTTCAGCACTTGTAAGTAATGAAACTTGATTCATATCGCAGAAGGACCCTAGCTCACTCTTTAGAGGGCATGCAGTAAAGATATAATCTTACACTTTGAAGGTTCCATTGTAAACCCATATGATGTGGGGTACCCTCTGTTTGTCATCACTATTTGCTCTACCAGTGTATTTGAGGCCCTCAGTGCTGTAGTTTATAGTGAATGTTGGCATAAATTTTATGTGCCAGACTTTGATGTTCTGGTTGAAACTTACTGAAAATATAAAAGGTTATATTCGTAATATGCAATATGCTTCAGTTTTGTGACAATTACAGTTGCAACATCAATGTTCTTTCAGTATGTTATATGTTGATTGAGTTTTGGGACTGAGGCATAATCCCAGTATGATGAAATTCAAACATTTGTTATCCAAGAAAATTATGTATAAAATTATTTACGTACATATATAGCCATTGGCTTAGGGCATTGCATTTTCCTTGCACCCAACTGTGTCAATTTCTCTGCAGTTGTAATGTACACTGGCCTGTGGCAATCACACATACGAAATAATCTCTGCACTACAAATTAATGTATGGCAATATGTTCCATATTACATGGAAACTGAGCAGTTATTTATGAAACTTATGATTGAAATTGTCAGATATTATGTATATTATCAGGGATTTACAAGACGCAAATTCCTGTGTCCTATACGCATAAAAATTAACAAAGGACACAACAAAATTTAGTAGCGCATTCACAGGGACACAGAAAAAGTGCAAATACTTTTTGTAAAAATTCCAATCAAATAACAATAAGTTATGACTGAGTTTGTAACTAGCTGGGTTATGGTATCATTTGCAATTTAATTACTGTAACAATGTGATGATCATGATACACAATACAATAACAGTATTAATAATAATATTTAAGTTTCTGGGACCCCCATTTTGTTGTAAAATAGATTAAGAATATGAGTCCCAGGTAACTTCAAATACAGGACTCCAGGTAAATCCCTGATTATATTGTAGGAAATTCTTCTTGCCTGCTTTCCCCTTAGCTCAAATTCCATTGTATTTGACTCTTAATATAGAGGCTATTGATACAGGGATGGAAAATGTATTTTATGTCAAATATGACACTGGGCATTTCTGTCTTGTGGCAACCTTATGTCCTGCATATTTCAATTAAAGAAGAAATAGGTTATTTGAAATAATGTCAATCATGTTCATGTGTTCATCCTGTTTCATGTTTTTAAATTACACTAATAATTCATACAAAAACAAATTGTGACACAGTACTTGTGCTCTTAAAGGACAGGTGTGCTATTTAACTGCCACCACTGTTACAGTGGTAATTAAACATTTCTCAATTAGTTATATTTTTTAACTTACTTTCTAATAAAAATTATGATGTCAGAATGATTGGCATGAGTATCATTTCAGAAATATGTCTTATTGACAGAATAACTTTGATAATGTATCAAATCACAATAAAATCATGTATATAAATTTTGACGTTTGCTTGTTACTTGCTGCTCTCTGCAATATTGCAGGTATGATGTGTTCTACAAAATAGATACTTCTGGGTCTGACAATATAGCGATTGACAGGATTGGATTTGATCTGCACATTTTGGATACAATGACATGCATATACCAAGTCAGTGAGCCTGGGCACCAGATCCCTTTACTGTTTTATTTCAACAAGCAGCCCAGATCCCCATAGATATTTTGGTGATACTGACACTCTGGTGATGGAATGTACCTGGTAAGACAGGAATGATCCCAACTGCACGTCTCCAACTGGAGTCTGAACCTTGGGGGCAGTCAGGTGTACCATGTAGCTCAATGGAGCATGTTCCTGGTCCTTCAGGACTTGCATGTCCGTTTCTGTGACAACTGGGATTCTGAGAAACAGGTACATTTATAGAATTTCAAATAATCACTTTAGACTGAAAGAGTGAAATTCCTTTAATTTCTCCATATAGACTGTTATGTATGTGGTTTACCAGAAGTATGTACATTAATATTTATTTAATCACATATAAATGTTAAAAACACTTTATTATTTAAAATATATTTTAACAGGATAAACCTTTGATTGTAATGTTGGACTATGACTTACTTCTTTGTAGTATCAATTTGGCAAGTCACTGGCTTCCTCTTCCTGTTCTGGGTGGGTCTTGCTACAGTGATATGATTCATGGGGACTGGGGTAATGGTCCTTCCCCTAGGTTTGTGCCACTGCTGGGGCAAACTGGTGCAGCTCTGCAGCTGTGGCACATGAGTGTAATCATGCAGTTTCAGTCCTTGCAGGGACTTGACCAAACCCACGATGTGGGAACAGCGCCCTCCAAAACTGGGGAAAGAAATACACAAATATAGCAGATACCAATTCCACTTTCTCATGTGAATGTAGATGCAAGTATAATATGAAATAAGAATAATTGAGTGAATGGGATTTACTAAATTTAGTAAGTGAAAAAATGTTTAAAAGATATACCCCTGTTTAGTAGCCCAGACTGATACATTTACTAGAGTTCAACATAGCAATGACTGCCTTCATGAAATATGTGTACTGTATACGTAGTTGATAATTCCATCAAAATGAAAATCAAATATAACCAAAAATATATTGAAATTGTAATATTTTGGAGAATTGTATGAAAATATATGGCTATATATGTGCAGTGTGTAGCTGAAGACAAGATGCTGGTTTTCTTGATTATGATTTGAACTTCGTGTACCTTTTTACACATGTCCCAGATTTAGACATCACAGTACAGATGTCCGGGCTTGTTTTGGGGTTTTTTCTCTTAGGTTCGCGCAACTTGGAAGCGGGCTGTCCGGTGAATACTCGGTGAAGGCTTTGGTGTGAGCTATTTTCATAATGTGTTGTTGATATCTCACAGGCGCTAGCTTTTTATATGTTATGACAGTAAATAAACTGTTTATATAATTTCATTTGTCTATTTCACCACACGTTCTTCTTACCGAGTCACTTTCTCAGTTCGATACTTAAAAGCAATGTCATTATTTAGCGTTGACACAATTTCTAACTGTGATATAGATATGTCGCTGTCACAGACAAAACTCAATGTCTTGTTTTATTGACACCTGTGTGTCTGCCTGCTTGTCTGCTAATGACAATATTCAATACACAACTGCTATCACTGACCACATGCAATTTGAACTTAACACCAATCAGGCTATACACCATAAACAAAACGTATTGATTTATGGCCCGAGTTCGGTCTCTGTCACATTATGTAATTACACAGACAGGCAGGTGTAATACTTGAACACATGACATGTTATGCTTGCTCTAACAAAGACAATTAATTCCTGGGAGGGAACGTAATATATTGATGAATGTTGTCACTCTGGTTTACAATAACGCATTTTAATGCACTTACCCAGCCTTGCAAAAACAGTAGGAATCGACAAATGTTTGTGATCGTATATCTATCTACAGCTGCAGTTTGTGCGCCTCTTCGCGCTTCGATAGCGATCATCAACATTTCGCGTACACGAAAACGGCCTGAGTATGACTGAAAACTTTTATGTCGTGCACATGCCCTTCTAGAAAATAATTTAAACCCCTTACTTGTGCCCTTTTTGATATTCTGTGATGTTCTGGATGGAAATGTAAGGAGATATTGTCGGGCATTGACCTGAGACAGTCGTCTCCCGGATGACATTCAGGTATTTTGATAGCTCAGCATCGCAAACCTTGGGGGACATAGCAACAGTAACCAATGTAGGCGTGGCTTCGTAGCGTCGGTCGGAACTATGCATAGTACTTTCGAAATCCAAAATAGGGTAGAAGATTCACTTTGTCCAAATTCTTTATGGCAACATAGAAAATACACCCCTCATTGACTCTGATTTTTTCATATGTTTTGAAAAACTTAAATAAAAAATGACTGGCTGCATGAACATGATTAAAGGTCTAAAACTAAGGCGTGAGCCTTTTGCTCTATGCATTACAAATGCATTGATATGTTCTGTGTGTAACTTCGTAACCACTGAATGGAATCACACGAAACTTTGGAAGGCCTATCATAATTTGGCACATATATCAATTGATTTACCAAAACTACTTACTGTTTATTTAGTTAGCTAAATACATGTATGTTCAAATTGTTGCTGAAATATGCTGACGAGCTATCACGAGCGTATTGTGTCAGGTCAATTTGATTGAACTAATTATTCTTATATCTTTTTCTAACTCTTTGATTATTTTTATGTCCTTCATCTAGCATTGTCTTTTCCTTTCTTTTCAGAATATACCTGAGGTGCGACCAGTGTAAAAGGGTTTGGCACGCAGATTGTGACAACCCAGAGCTAGAACTCTATATTACAGGGGAACTTACAACAGTTACCTGCACAGCTTGTGCTTTAGGCAAGTATATTTTTGCACTAAATTAGTTGCTGTGAATTTAATTAAACAATTAAACTAGTAAAGTGATTTTTCTCTGGAAACAATGACTGCTCCCTTGAGAAAGACAAGTTTGGATTATCTCCCTTGATTGTCCTTGGGCCATGAAGTTGGGGAATAATCACTTATATTGTGATTGTTAAGAATAATGCACAACTTTACTTTTATATTTATTATGCTGCAGTTCTTTTTCTACATATTATGTGCAATTACAGTCTATTTCGATCAGATAAATCCCAACTATACATACATTTTGTCAGAGAGATTCATAATCCAAAAAGCTGTCTGCTAGCCGCCATTTTGGAAAGAGGGAGTGTTCATTGTTTAGAAATGTTTTCTATTATTCTAAATTTATGAATTTTCCTGTCATTGCATGTACCTGTAAATCACTATTTATAAAATTATAAGTGTGTTATGGTTGGCTATACTGATTCTTTAAGGGAAACGCAGAAAATAGTATGTCATAGTTTATGTACTGCGCATGCGCACACATGCAAAATTTCAGGTGCCTCCATATCTAAAATTATTTCAGACATGTTCTTTTATATCATGACCAATTTTGGTGCTTTTATCATCAAATGCACAATTCTTATTAAAACTGGATCTTAGCCGCTCCACTACAAGGCATAACAAATGCATTGATATGTTCTGTGTTTAACTTCGTAACCACTGAATGGAATCACACGAAACTTTGGAAGGCCTATCATAATTTGGCACATATATCAATTGATTTGCCAAAACTACTGACTGTTAATTTAGTTAGTTAATTACAAATATACATGTATGTTCAAATTGTTGCTTGAAATATGCTGACGAGCTGTCACGAGCATATTGTGTCAGGTCAATTTGATTGAACTAATTATTCTTATATCTTTTTCTAACTCTTTGATTATTTTTATGTCCTTCATCTAGCATTGTCTTTTCCTTTCTTTTCAGAATATACCTGAGGTGCGACCAGTGTAAAAGGGTTTGGCACGCAGATTGTGACAACCCAGAGCTAAAACTCTATATTACAGGGGAACTTATAACAGTTACCTGCACAGCTTGTGCTTTAGGCAAGTATATATTTTGCTTCATTGTATTAATATGATTTCGAAGTATAGAGCTAACAATTATTAGATAATACTCTGATTAGTCTCTATAAATCAGGCTCACCTTAACAAAGCATTTGCTAATACATTGAGTATGATGCATCTTTAGGAAACTTTCATTTTGCATATTTAGGCTAATAAATCTTTATTTTCTTCTTTTAGCTTAAGCATGTCTCAGACAGTGAATTTCACAGTGGAAAAAATGGCCAGGTACACAACCTCCAAGTGAACGAGGATGTGGCCAAACTGTTTATGACTGCAGATACTGGTAAAAATGGCAAGCCTTTTATTTTGAATAGCAAACCGTTTAAACTGTATGGGCTGTATGTAACTGCAAATTATGAATCATCTCTCATATTTCTTAAAATGACTACAAATTTCAAAAAAGCTGTTTCAGATTTTTTGTTGAGATCTGCAGAAACAAAAGTATTAAATTATATTTTCAGTAACTTACAATGCTTTGCGGTTAACCTTTAATTTAAATGAATTTTATTTACATAATTATTATTTGGGTTTGTGATTGCTGCAGTTTTACTGTTCTTTTAAATCATTTCAGATGAAGAGGTTAAACAGATAATCATAGATCAATTATGTCGGTCACAGCCAGAATCTGACAACACAAACAATACTAAGGCGGTGCCAGTGGCAGAATGTTGTGGGGATAATCCAGGTCAATATATTAGAATACTCTGCAGGGTTATGCAATAATTCCTTTCCAGTTTTTAAGGGTAGTTTTGTTGACTAAAGACTGAATTTTGGAAAGACGTGTTTTGAAAGTGTTGTGTATTAGCATGATTGATTTATCAATTTTATTAAGTATTTTGCATAAATAGATTTTACAATTGAACTTTACTCAGTAAACCTGTTATACCTTTTCCAGAATTTGGTAGTATCATGTGGACAAAAACCGCAGAAAAACTGATCCTTGAAGAGCACCAAAAAATTGAGGAGGAAAGAAACCTTTAAAAAATAAGTGGAAAAGAATTTCTCAGATCATGCCTGTTAACAAGTATCACTTCACTGCCGAACAATGTCGCCTCGAGATAAAGAGTCTGAAAGACAGGTATGCCAAACAGAAAAATAAAAATAATACATCTGGCGAATCTCCATCGAAAACAGATCCTCAACTTGAACATTGTTTTGAGTCCCAGCCAGACTTCAAACCAGTAGCAAACATTGACACAGGAGGAGTTGATTCTTCTGCACCGTCAACTGAAGATGACAAAGCTGAGAAACCTAAACCCATGAAGGATGAGGCAGGTAAATGAAAGTATTACTGCTATTTGCAAGAAGTAGTCCTTGCTGAAATATTACAAAAGTCTGAATTGTGGTGAAACCTTTTTAGAATTTATGTTCAGTTATTCTTAAAAGGAGTTCAGAGTCCTTAAGTTAGCACGGCATCTACTGAATTAATAGACAAAGTGTGTTCAAATTTGATGTCATGGAATCTTAGGGGATGCCCTAAATATACTATTGTCGGTGTTCATTGTTTGGTACAAGCAGATACTTAAGATGATTCTTGTTACCTTGATTTCATGTAATGCCCCTCAACAGCTAGATCTATGATATATACCCCTTTTAGATTTCTGTTAGCGGTGGGGTACATAGCCATGTTTGTCACAAACACTTGTGAAGTATTTCATTCAAGATGAGCCTAAACCAAACAAACGACGACCAAGTGTGAGTGACAGCTTGAAGGATTTCCTGAAGGGTGAAAGTGAGAGAGAGAAGCTGTTGCTGAGAAGAGACATAGAGAGAGAATGAGCACTGCAAATAAGATGATCGATGTATTGCTTGCTACAAATGCTTCAAAGTAAAATGATATATGCTCTGATAAACAGACTGTTCGTTTGACAAGAAAGTCAACCCCTTAGTTGCAAAGTATCTGTTTTTGAAGAAAAGCATCTGAAATGTTTAAATAGTGTTTGTTCATGAATTATGTATTATTATTATATTATAGGATATTTATATAGCGCACATATCCACGCACTGGTGCATGCTCAAGGCGCTGGTATTTTTATCCCTCGATCATTGGATGTCATGAATCTCAACGGCACATCGCATTATCAATCTCAACTCCCTGGGGAGTATACAACTCTTGCAGCCACTAGGCGCACCGAGTTATTGTGGCTTTCTCATCCTAATGAGGTACCCAACAGAAATTTGCGTTTAATATGTTTTATTGGTTACAGAAAAATATATTTAATGAAGAAAATATCTTCATTTGAATTCACACATTGTAAAAGTATGCAGAGGGGGGTTAAATATT